AATCGCAAATACGACATAGCACTTTACTGATATAATGTTTTGCTTACTCAACTGACCACTTCATTTTAGCAATATTACAATACTTTCATTTTGAAGTAGGATTTAATATAGGATTCTAGTATCATTATATGTTTGTAGGCAGTGCGCTTGTCACACTCCTGCTGAGGCTCAGAACTGTCATGTGATAGAAAGCAACATTAATTTCACTGTCCATAATGACTGCTCATTCATTAGAGGCGAAAGTGCATTTGACAACTGTCGATGAAATTATCACCACAATCGATCGTTATGATAGGTATATTTTGAAAATCACACACAACAGCACACCGAACGAACCACAGTTATGTAGATAATAGGATGTATCATCAACAAAAAATGTAGATTCAAGCATATTTGACATCTTTACGATAGAAGTAAAACACTGCGAATAAAACAAAACATCAACCACTTCCATGACGACAACGACGAAATCCTGTTCACGATCGATCCCATAAACTATTACAAATATATCTTACTGAACAGCAACCACACAGGACAATGTGAAACAACATGTCCCTACAATTACACATTCTTATAGATCCCAAACAGTACAGTAAGTAGCTTTGCAAATCAAGAGGGATAAAGCCTCTAACGGGAAGGAACGATGACCTGTTAGTAAAAAAATGAAGGAGGCATATCTGGAAGAGCTATAAGGTCCGATTAAGGTTGTGGAAAAAGACAAAAGGATGAATGCATTTCTTGCTCATTCTTCTATTCGGTAGAATTCTATTATATATATATATATGAATACCACGCCACAATTCAGTTGTCTCGTAATAATCTTAATCAAATGCTGGAATGTTACTCTCTCCACTTCTTATTTACAGTTACCTCTGACAATGTGATGAAGGACAAAAGATGTTTCAGTACCTCAGTGCTTTTGAAACTCAAGTTCAAGCAGCTAGAAAACTTGAAAAACTCGATACGCAAAAAACAAGATGAAAGTTAATAAAATTACTATCTCCGAAAGCTGATAATCCTGCTGCAAGCTTATCCAGTACCAAAGTTGATAAATCTTTTTTCTTCACCAGTTTACGATTAAAAAAGAGAATCTATACAGTAAAACATAAAGATTTCAAAAAATCTGTTAAGACTGAAAAAAATACGGTAACATCGCCCTAAATGGCTGATGGGAAGCATTTGTAAGAAAGATGAGACAGATACTATATAGTCTTGGAAGAGCTTCGTGTGATTCTTAGGAAACTTCTTAATAACAGGAAAAAAAAGCAACTAAAGATGCTTATTAAATAGCCTTCCTATTAGGTATTTGTAATCGGAAAATCATTGAATTATAATACGGAGTGGTCGAACTACAAAGACATATTTCAAGTAACTGTTTCCTCTGTATAAAACAATTTTATGATATTAAGAAATTAGACTTATTTGTCGCTTAGGAATTCAAATCAAGAAATTTTCAGTAAAATTCGAAATTATTTTTCAAAATATTAGTGCCATATTAGGGATGTGTCTTATGCTGTAATGAAGTTTGGACAATCTTTTTGCATATGTAAAACTCGTTAGTCTTTTTCTGAGGACCACAGTAAGCTCTTCCAAGACTATTTATGGAAGATCTTTCTTATAAGTGCTTCCCATCAACCATTTAGGGCGATGTTACACCATATTTCTTTCAGTCCTAACAGATTTTTTACAAATCTGTATGTTTTACTGTGTAGATTTGTTTTTAATATAAAAACCATCTTACTTGCTTTTCCAGCAATCTTATGAAACTACCAAAAAGCAAATTATCGTTGCATTGCAAAGTGAACCATATAAAAAGCAAAACAACCTGTACTACTGGAACAGATTCCTTTTGACTACATTCCTTTTTTTTTTTTTCAACTATAAATAAATACCTAAATAATCTGGTAGTCGTAACTTTTTCAGTAAACTATTAGTCTAGATATGAAATACTCTCTATTTCGCGAAAAATAAGAAAAGGAAAAATAACGCTAATCGGAGACTTCCAATTAGCAGTTTTTTATAAGTCCATAAAAAATAAATGATTGATGCACATAAATTTAATTACAATATAGGAACTATCATTTAACTATTCCTATCACGTTTTTCAGCAGAAGTTGTACTGAATTTTAACACTGTTCCTTTTTTTTTTAGAGAAATGTCGGAAAAGCATTTGCCTTTTTAACAGCTTAATGAATAAGGCCATCATTTAAGTGCTAGCATTATCGCTATGATGAAGACGGCTTTAATAAAAGAATATTAATATTACTATTTTAGTAATGGAAAACTTGATTGCAATCTATCTTTGCCTAATAACAATACTTTTTGCTTTTTTTTTTTTTCTTCTAATTCAGTAAGATCTATCTGGATAAAATTATGATGAGGGTGGCTCTGATGACGATGGAACTTACCTAATAATAAAATGATAGAGGAAACCACCATTAAAAGGAAAAGATGGAGATTTTATTGTTACTTATGGTTCGTCATGAACAACTGAATGAATCCATTTTTTGAAGATATGAAGCAGTAGCAGCAGCAGCATCAACAACACCGTGTAAAGGATTCATTATCAGCAAACTGACAGCATCTAACGACAACGATGACACTAATATGGGTACTAGTACCGATCCATGTTTTGTGACTCCCGTTCTGGTCGTCCATTCCTGTCTTGCATACGCAGCAGTAGCATGTTGATTCGCTAAATTCTTTCCCAGACAATTTTTCCAAAACGAAACTATTAGATAAAAACCTGAAAATAAATAATGCAACGAATGATACTAGAAACAATTTTTCGAAAACTTAAACAACGAAGACCATGTAAAAATGTCTCATTAGTCCTCACATGAATCTCAAACAGTAAAGAGTTGACGTATTATTTCAGGATGTTTTATGGAAAAAAGTTTTTGAATGTAAAGTACTGTTCAACTCTTATATAACCTACTGGCTGATGTTATAGATTCATTAAAAAAACTGTTTAAAACTAAATAATTCTGATAATCTTTTTCCTTCAGTGTATTATCAGTGATTTCTATAGACATGGATATCACTAGAAAATACTTTATAGATCAGAATTCCTCAAAATTCTGTTATAAATAACAGGATTAAAGAAGATAAAGAATTACGTTCTAATTGTTAAATAATCTAACTTTTCTAGGAAAGGTTGAAATATACCATCAACATAGAAATGATTGATATCGTTTTCACCATACGTCAATTTAAAGTAATTCTAACGAAATGATCTATCAATTATATACTGTTTTTGAAAATTTTCAACAGAAAATCTAGCATAACTTTTAATGTTATTTATATACAAAGGACTGATATGCAGCAATAAATAGAAAAATCATATTCCCTACTCTAACACTGTTAAAGACCCGCCTTTCTTCTCTCACTGATTTTACGCGTCACATACATAACACCAGTAACCTTCAAAACCCAAGCAGTATAATTCCTAGATTTCGACTCAAAACATCCGGTGGAGTGCAAATGATGTGTTAATAGAGGATTCGCAATGATCCAGAACTATATCGAGAGTATGCAACTCAGTAAAAAGTACAAATATTACTTATTTTTGAGTAGAATTAAAAATCTGATTATTTGTTTCAAGTCATTTATGACATAACACATATGTAGACGATGATGAGTCAAAGTTTTCAAGAATCAAAAACGTAGATGGTCAGGTGAGTAAATTCCAGTTAAGTTTCTGGAAATGCAGACAACAGAGTCTGGTGATTTCGAGCAAAAAAAAAGAGAAAACAAGCGCACTTAGTTGTAGTTCTCACTGCAACTGCCGTGAAAGCGACACTGGAGCCATAATAATAAATGGAGGTAAAGAAAGCTAGAATTGAGTGAAAAGGAATTGGATTGAATCGATTTCTTCGAGCCAGCGCTCTCCATTTCCCCTCACACCTACATTCTTCTCTCAGGCTCATTTCAATACTATCTTACTGAGCTTTACTTTCGTCGGCTTCTTATCAACAACACATCCATTATAATAAACAATTCCGCTGAAATATCTGGGATATTCCACCAAAACCATCTGATATAAAATGGAAGCAAATAACAGCTAATCTAGCTCAAGCTATGTTATCGCCAGTGCAATGGTCAAATGATGTTTCTCAATCCAGGGACAAAAGTAAAAAGTTCTAACCTGAAAAAAGAAAAAAACTAATTAAGCTTTCAACCAGTACGTTGCTATTAGACATGCTCCGACTAGATATACACTAATAAATAGGGAGATATGGGTATGCTTTGGGTCAGGACAGAAAGACACGGGAAATTATTTGATGATCAGAGAGGAAGAAAGAATTTTCGAGATAACTAGAGAATTCCGAGCAAGTCCAAGATGCTGCAGTTTAGTCGTAGTAATGCACTCGATAGGTACTGAGGCGTCTGAATGGAATGCGATAGGTACTGAGGCGTCTGAATGGAATGCGGTAAGGGTAGTTAGTTGAGTTTGTCGCGACCAATGAATAGTTGGGTGAATGAATTACTGAAGATGTAATTTCTAAATTTTGTGTTTTAAATTATCAGAAATTGGGGTATGATAAGAATAAAGTTAAAACGAAGAAAAGTGAGGACACTGCCGGACATATCCATTCCGACACCACACTCTGCCGTAATTCGGAATTGTCTCTGTTGATACGAGGAGGGAAATCAGATATGCTTCCGCATCCTAACCAATGTATGCTACTTTGATTGGTTTGTTCGTGGCTGGCTTCGCGTTGCTGTCAGATGCTTCGTTTACCAACAGGTGGTCCGTCTGTTTCTATCTGTTTAGACCTTTGTTTCCGAGAAGTCAGGATTGCTTAGGTTGATAAACGTTCGCGAATATCAAGAAAAGGATGAATAGATATGCAGGTTAAAGGAATGGATATCACTTGGTCTGATCTGGATTTCGAATCATTTATGTAATTGTCTTTGAACTCGTATAGATATTTCTTGTGTATGCGTTCGTTTTGTTTTGATAAGCTATGATAATTTATCAAGATTGTAGTGACAGGATGGATATCAGTTCAACGAACCCAAACATTAATTCAACGGACCCAAATTGGAATCTTTTCTTGCACCAATTACAAGCTGAAAATCAACGTCAGAAATTCACAGAACAGGTGAACATTGATTTCATGCATCTGAGATGCATATGATTTGTATAATATGTGAACTTTATCCATTCAAGTTTAACATTTTGATACTCATGAAGAGGATGACATGTATGATTGCGCGCTTACTGAGGTAACAACTGCGTGGAGTAGCTGATCCCATTAATTAGACAAGTGGAATTGAGATTTGGTAGTTGTCAGTCATATTCAGCTGTCAAGAAATTTGATCTTTAAATTTATTCATTGAAGCTTTGCAGGTGCAAACGTTGACAGGTCGTTGTTGGGATGTGTGTTTCTCGGATTATCGACCACCAAGTAAGTTAGACGGCAAAACACAGAATTGTATCAACAACTGCGTGAATAGGATGATCGACGCCAGTAATTTCATGGTGGAACATTTACAGAAAATGAGTGCTACTGAAATGAGGTGAAGTGGCCGAATTCCAGTTATTATTATCTGTGAACTATAAATTTTTGAAATACTTTAAAAGTATTTTGGTATGTTTCTTTATTGCTGCTTCTAACGGAAGTGCTTGTTCTGGATATCTGTAAATCTATCGCCTTATATTCTTGGCTCATCATATGATGCAAAATATCGTACTGTTTTTTTCGTTACACTTATACTGCTATACTATAATTCTTATTCACTGTTATGATACATTGAACATTTTATATAAATAAGGTCACACATATGAATTTGATTGTGGGTTTATTTCTATGTTTTGCTTTAAAGAAGAATGATATTTACTGATACAATACTTCGTGCAGAAAGAAATGTTGTAATGCTAAGACACATCTGTAAGAATTTTGCAGATTTCTTGGAGTTGAATTTTTCAGTTCTAGTTTGTGTCTAGTTCAAGTATTCGTCGTCCTCACTATCGAATAGAGAAGTATAAGTTTGAGTAAATTTTAAAATTTATGGCTTTAGTTGACTGTTACGAACAAGGATGTAATCTGACATAATCTAATATATCTTTGGATATCCATTCATCTTTTTATATGAGACACTAAACACATAATTCCTTATGATCTATTCTCTAGAAGACGTAACCTTCACCGTCTTCTTGTATATCACCACAAAACTGTCACCCAGGTTATGAAAAACCAGGAATGCAAACATTGTATGTGTATATTACATGTATATTTTGTAGAAATGTGGATCATCTGATGTACTGTAGCGTTAACATTAGCTCTCCTCAAAGGTTTATTTTACTGGTCGGTTTAGCTGATTACAGAAATCGAAGCTTGCTAATCAAGAAAGGAAAAAGTGGAATTGGTATATTATGATACTCAATGCTCTTTGGTATAGAGATGGATGCATACCTTCGTTACTTTTTATTTCTTTGCTTAATAATTGGTTTTTTAAAAGTCAGTGGATGGTTGATCACTAGCTTGTTATTTTCGAAAAGGAACATTGTTTTAAATGATGAGTGCTGAATAATTAAAGAGGAAAGCTTAAATGTTTTTTGAAATCAGCATTGAACTTTATTCATCTAACAAATAACTGTTTAATTCATATTAAACAATACTAAATAATTCATTTGTAGACTCTAATCCATTCTTGACTATGCTACTACTACTATTACCAAGCGTAATGATCCTATGACTGATGTGATGTCAATGTGATGTGGTCTGAAGAAATTGTTAGGAGAGGAATTTTAGATGAGATTGAATTCAATTTTGAGTTAATCATCAAGGCTTTAAATTTCCATGACAGTGTTATTGGCGTTCTATAGAAATGCTTCAACGTGACAGAAAATATGTTGAAAGTTTTTGATCAAAAGTTCGTCGGAAGACATTGTTCATCCCATATAAAAAAGATTGTGGCGTTGAAAGTGTTCCACGAACGGAGTAGGAAAATCGAGGCGTGGCGTGTTTAAACTTCAGCTTTGCATTAGTTAAAGTTGAATTGGAGAAAAAGAATCCCCATCAGTGTTAGGGTCCAATTAATCTTGGCCAACGGGATTGAGACTGGAGAGGGCAAGGACTGCTGATTTTGTTTTGAATGTGGATGACGAAATGTGCAGGATCCGGAGTCTTCCTTCATTTCTTTTGATACAAGATAGGAACGCAAGATTTCTTCCTTCCACTTTTTTGACTCTTCCGAATCTTGACGAATATTTTATTCATTTTTCGGAACATTATTTTTCTGGTACCTTGATCATAAGCAATATATCATCATCTGTTTAATGGACCAAGTCGATTAAGGCGATTATCTGCCACTAAACAAAGTCCTGATACTGCTGTTATTTCTTTTGTTGTGATTTGCTTATGCACTTGGATTCGTTAGGCTTCCTTGTTCGTCACATCTTTCCATTCCATTTCATTTCCTAGTCATTCATTCGATTACAGGAAACTTGAAATTCCAGTAAATTGTGAATTAGCCTATCTCATTAGACGGAGAAAGTTTTTTAACCTAATCATTTTCACTGCTCTCAACTACCTTATTTCCGTCCCAGGCCAAGAAATTAGTGTAATTTACAGTAATATGACGAAGTTACCACTACTGTATTTCATTCTACAAGTGCCGTTCTTGGCATGTGTCGACATATGTCATTATTGCCGCTGTGATCGATATTCTAGTACTGTCAGTTGTACGGGATATAACATTTTGTTACGATCGGTAATTGCACCGCACTGGGCCAAGATTCTCTATTTCCACCATATGTCTATGCGACATTTGCCTCATTTTGCTCATAATGAAAATATCAAAATTCTTCGGATTAATTTCTGTGGTTTGACACATATTCATTCGCTGTCGCTTACCTCACTGCCAAATCTGGAAACTCTGCACCTTTCTGATAATCGGTTAACGGATTTACCTTCGGAATGTTTCTTTGAACTTACCAAGTTGCGGATCATAAATCTGGCAAGAAATCTGATTCGTAACCTAGATCTAATCAGTGAAATGCTTCCAAGAAGTCATATTCTGGAGCAATTTAGTATAGATGGTAATCCAATACAAATTAGTTCTGTTAGTACTCAGTTTCCTTTAGCTCGACAGTTGCATCTTTCGGATACAAATATGGAAACAATTAACGATTCTACCATAACTTTTCTGCCCAGTATCGGATGCAATGTATCAGAGACACTTTGTCGCAGTATGCACATTTCGAACCAGCAATGGTTCATTCTGCGTTCGTTAGATTTATCATCTCAGGAAGAGCTTTCAATTCACCCATCGCTCCTTCCAGTTATCAGTAATGTTAGCGTGCTAAATCTCAGCACAACCAAACTTCCTGACTCTTTTCCTGATTGGCTTCAGATTTCTAGTCGTGTCCGACATCTAAGTATACCATTTACCGTCCTTCCAAATGCAAATTATTCTTGGGAATGGTGTAGTCAGTATCTGGAATGGCTTGACATATCTCACCTTAATTTACGCACTCTTATTATTCCAAGACATTGCAAGATTCGTTATTTAAAAGCGAACGATAATCATTTGGATAAGGTTTTCATTCGTGCTAATTCGTTGGAAACCTTATTTTTAGAACGGAACAATTTGTCTTCTTGGATTGTACCTCCACCTGGTACTACCTTTACTCATATGTTGACACTTTCCTTGTCCTTCAATAGAATACCTTATTTACCCAAAAATGCTTTGGCTTATTATCCACAACTTCAGCACCTCGATATTTCTCAAAATGTTTTGGCAAACTTGTCTACTCAATCATTTCCAATAATTGGAATGCAAATTCGCTCCATCAACATGTCCCACAACAAACTCTCTCGATTCGTGCACCCGATATTACCGTCACTACTTCTTCTTGACCTCTCTAATAATGCTCTTGAAGGTTTAGACTCTTATTTGTTAGCAGGACTTCCTCTCCTCCAACATTTCTATCTAAAATCAAATGTTGGTTTATTTTCGAAGTGTAGTGGAATATCTCAGTGCTGGATAATGTCCCTAAATCAGCTTGGAAATCTTATCGATTTAGACATTTCAGATTGTAATCTAGAATGGCAGCCAGATCTTTCTAGTTTTCAAGCAATGCGTAAACTTGATTTATCTAGAAATCGATTATCATCTCTAGACGGAGCCTTATTACCTCGTAATCTATACTTCTTGGATGTAAGTGAAAATCTTATCCATTATTTATTCAATGATACCTGTATGAAGAACAGTGAACTTCGTGAAATGGATATATCACGAAATCCACTTATTTGTCATTGCACATTGTTGCAAATCATCCAGTGGATCCCAAATGACACATATTCCACCTCAACTAATGATTATTTATATTACTGCTTTTCCGGGAGTTGGCAATATCCTCTGCGAAACTATTTAGATAGTGCAACTGCATGTCTTTCGACTAGATCTGTTTGGTTCTCAGCATTATTTACAATAATTTGCTGTATCCTTGCTATCACCATCATCCTTGCAGTTTTCATCTTCGTTGCAAACAGCAACAGAATGTCACATTGTGGTGAATGCTTATTATTTGCTTATAAACCACTCCGTACAAGTGATACATCATTTGCCGTTCAGATTTGATTTATTGTAATTGATATATCTAAAATGTTCGACAATCTGCAGTTGTCTGCTTTGACAATCTATATGAAATTTATTGTAAAATAGAAAAGCATGTTTTTATGTTATATCTTTTCTTATTTCAACAGTACATCATTACCAAATTACCAAATGGCAACACTATTAATGCTTTTTTCAAAGCTTTTATTGTCCAGTAAATTGTTTTTATGAAGTGCAAAATTAATAAAGGATGTTGGACTTCATTTCTTAATTGAAAATACATATAAAATTGTATGGAATGGATATTATGCAGTGCGAGAATTTTGTTTCAGATGGTAAGGAAATACATTACAATTCTCGATTTCAGATTTTCTGTTTTGAGATCTTTGTACTATCAACAAATCCGACAACTGTACAATAAAGTTTACTTCGCGATTGTAATCAGAGCGCACGAAATATATACATTGAGACTTAGGTATAGAACAAAATGTGTTTATCTACAAACAAAGCACTTCATTCATAGATGGCAACTTAAAAAAGACAATAAGATAAAAATGTGGTTAAATTCAACTAAGTTTGCAATAATAGATTCATTACTATCGATGACATCACATTGACATCTGACCTGTTATGGTGGGACTAACTCTTATCACTGTAGAATGAGCTTTGAAACAAATTGCATTTCTACATGAATTATTTATATGAAAAGGAATTCCTCTACCATAATTACCACTACTCTTTTCAAAATGATTTCCTTATAGCGATAATGCTATATTAGGAAACCCAGAATAATGGTACTGTACAACAGAAATCAAATAATGGAATCTATGGAGGAAGCACAGAATACAAGCTATTAAGTCTTCTGTTTAATTCATCCATTAGTGGTGTCATAAAGAAGTACTTTCTCCTCAAGGAAGCTCTTTCTCCACCAACCTCCTTGAGTATGTTTTGTATTCCGAAACAAACACAATTACTGAAATCTAAATTCATATGGCAAATTTGAAAGAGTGATAGATATCAACAAAACTTTTTTGGAAAAACTGCATAATAATCGAAATTGATGTATCAAGAAGTATAAATCATTATTAGTGACTTTTCCATGCTATCTATCACTTTATTAAACAGAAGAAATTTGCAAATATGTTTGAAATGGCTTTTGGACCATTGCTGTGTGATATGTGATGGATAAAGCGATGAAATACAATTAATTCCCTATGGAAAATTTTTTTCGACTTCTTTTCAATCATCACTTTTGACAAAATTTTTCTGAGCATCACCGCTGTCACAGCAATGCAATGTCATTGCAGAACTACGTCACCAGCAAGAGACGAGAATCAGTGAGGGTCAACGGTGACACACCTGTGATAAGAAGCTTCGCCTCACTTTCCTTCTGACCTTCCTTGCTCTTTGCTCATCCGAGGAAGATATTCTGGCAAAGTAAGATGGTAGACAGAGTATAATGCCAGTCACTCATTCAGGCCGGAGGCCGAATAAAATGGTCCTCACGTATCCGGCAGAACCATCGAAGAGAACAAAGAATTAAAATTGGAAAGAGTTGGCAACGTGCCAGCATATCATTTATTTTATTTAGAGACATAATCGAGGGTCCGTCCACTCCTCCTTCATTGCATTGTTGAAATTGAGATTAATGACTGGCAATGTTGTTGGTGACCCCTTTGACCTTCTATTTCTTTTTCAACTATTCTGATGCTGCTGGTTGCACTTCAGCAATATCTTGACCTCTTTTGGGTCCACTTTTTAAATGATTTCATGATGAGATCACATCATATGATGTATAGATAATGAATCGTATCCGGACTGTTGATATAATAAGATTACAGGTACAGAATACTTATGGATGAGAACTTCTTTATTGGGAATGTGTCTCCAGAAAGTACCATATCTCAGGATCATCACCACCGGCATCACCAGAGAGTAGTACCATGCTCGAGTTCAACTTTACTGTGTCCTCCAATGATGTATCGAAGTCAGAAACATTCCCGTTTGGCACTTGAGCAGATGAATGAAATGCGGTCAGATGGTTCTCTGTGTGACGTGACCCTGATCGTTGGAACCGTCCGTATCAATGCTCATCGACTACTGCTTGCTTCATGTTCCAGCTACTTTCGTGCTATGTTCACCTCAGAAATGGCTGAAAGTCGGCAACGTTAGCTTATTTTTCATTTCATCCTTATTAATATCAGAAAAGAAAGATTTATATAATTATTTAGTTATGAATTTTCAATTTATCGTTGGAAAACATATTGCTATTGCCATTTTCCTCATGAAAGCAAAAATGGTGTTTGACGTTTCCTTTCTTTTTTTCGATTGGAAAACCTGCTAAACAATGAAATATTCAATTTTTAGAAGAAATTCAGATGGTGGATATTGAACCTCGCACATTGCAAGGGCTAATTAATTTTTGTTACACGGGCGAAATAACGATTGCTGATTTCAACGTCCAATCCATCCTACCAGCTGCATGCTTATTGCAACTCGGCGAAGTGCAGGTCACTACATTTGTATCATTCTGATTTTGCTTATTTGTCCGGTAACTAAAATGGATAGTCTAGAGTTAACGCATGGTATTTGCAGGAAGTTTGTTGTGAATTTCTGAAAAAGCAGTTGGATGCAACGAATTGTTTAGGTATAAGGGCATTTGCTGACACTCACGCTTGTCGAGATTTGATGAGGATTGCCGATAAATTTACTCATCACAATTTTCAGGTCTTTCCTTTAGAAATTAATGTCTTCATATTAAAACATTAACATTTAACATTAAAGTCTTAAATTTTAGAGTTATTCACCCTAAGCATTGAAAAACTTGTGACAATTTACAAGTTTTAATTTCGAGTAAGAGATAAAACTACAGGATGTTGCGAAAAGTGAAGAATTCATATCACTGCCTGCAGATCAGTTAATCAACATTATATCAAGTGAAGAACTAAACGTTCGGTCAGAAGAAGTTGTTTTCCGAGCTGCAATGGCGTGGATCCGTCATGATCTTTCCAATCGACGTCAGTTTTTGCCGAAGGTCTCTTTTTTCCATTTCCTTGTATATGTTTGCTGTTAAATCCAAGCATAGTTAGAAAAATTTTTTTCTTAGCTATAGTGTCTTTAGGTTTTGGAGCATATTCGATTACCTCTTTGTCCTGCGAAATTCCTGGTTAGTGTAGTAAGTGAGGATCCATTAATTAAAATTGATGCACAGTGTCGAGATTTGGTTGACGAAGCTAAGAATTATCTTCTCTTGCCTCTGGAAAGACCGAACATGCAAGGACCGAGAACAAGGTATCTTTGAGACCTTCTAAAACATTCTTCTAAATTTCTGTTATTTTGCAATAAATTCTGTTATTTTCATTCCAGTGACTTCGTTCCAGTAACTGGTAATGTTCAGGAGTAGGAAACCACTACGTTATGGTGAAGTTCTATACGCTGTAGGCGGTTGGTGTAGCGGTGATGCTATTGCTTCGGTGGAACGCATGGATGGTCGGACTGGCGAATGGCGTTGTGTTGCTCCTATGAGCAAACGACGATGTGGTGTTGGTGTAGCCGTGCTTGATAATTTATTATATGCTGTGGGAGGGCATGACGGACAAAGTTATCTCAATTCTGTTGAAAGGTGGTCATGTATATAATACTGCTTTTTATCTTGCTGTTAATGTTAGCTCAATGCTAAAAAGTTAGGTTTTATAGTAACGAGTCGATAACTGTTGCTACATGTTTACTGTTATGGGCAACTGTAATAAAAAATATGTTTGTGTTACTCGTTTTTAATGCTTCTCATGGGCCAGTAGGGAAGGAGAAATTTTAAGAAGAGTTATTCATCATAAATATGATATAAAGATTATTACACATAAATTTTAGATATGATTTAGATATGACCCAGCAACAAATCAATGGAGTAGTGATATTGCACCGACATCCACTTGCAGGACATCAGTTGGCGTAGCTGTTCTTGGTGGTTTGCTTTATGCAATTGGTGGTCAGGATGGAGTTTGTTGCTTGAATGTCGTGGAAAGGTTCATGTTTGCTTTTACAAGTTTGATAGGAAAGACACTGAGAAATTAGGTGTTAATTATTTTGATTCAACATGTTAAAGTTAAAACGTTCTTACATTTTTAGAAGTAATACGGATAGTATCGCTTTTAACAAATTTTGTTATAGATATGATGCGCACCGAAATGAATGGGCTGAAGTAGCTCCAATGAGTACACGCAGATTAGGCGTATCGGTGTCGGTTTTAAATGGTTGTTTGTATGCTGTGGGTGGTTCTGATGGACAGAATCCACTGAATACTGTTGAACGGTGTGTTGCTGCTTCTGTTGGGTTTCCCATTTATTTTCCGGTTACTTCAGTTGAGTCTAAAGGAAATATTAGTACAGATCCAAACATTGAAATTACTGAATCTTAATGGTGAAAAACTGTTATAGTTATGATTCGAGAATTAACAAATGGATGACAGTAAAACCAATGAATACGAGACGAAAGCATTTGGGAACTGCTGTGCATGATGGATGTTTATATGCCGTAGGTGGTCGAGATAATGCTTGTGAACTATCATCGGCAGAGAAATATGATCCGAACACGAATGAATGGGTCAATGTTGTTGCAATGAACAATCGCAGATCTGGGGTATTCTTTTTAATCGCATTTCAGATAACTGATATTTAATTGTGGTACTTCTACATTCCCATATTTTTCATATTATCTCGGCATCCTTGTATATCTGGGGAAATTCATGACGAGTTTGTAAGTTCATTTGCGGGAATGCACATTCGTAGTTTAAAGTTTATTTGTCATTTTTTATCAGCGACTACGTGGGCATCCTGATGTACAGTATATGACTACAGTAAACAAGCTTGAATCATGCTTTTTGCTGTTATGTTTTGAATGGTAATCAGCATATAATACTCGCACTAAGAAATTAATATTTTTCATTAAGAAAACACTGGAAACCCGACATCTTTTCTATATTTTTAAGGAGCAATTTCTTGACTGATTTAAGTTTAGGTGGGTTTGGCTGTAGTTAATGATCAGTTGTATGCAGTCGGCGGTTTTGATGGTACCACATACCTAAAGACCGTAGAAGTTTATGATCGAGAAACAAATCAATGGCGTCAGTCGGGATGTATGACATACCGACGGCTTGGTGGCGGTGTTGGAGTGGTCCGACTAGACCACGACCAATATGTGCCATTCAGTCTGGATCCTGATTTGACACCTTTCGATGATCCTCCTTTGATGTGAATTTTCGGGATTTTTCCACAGCTGATAGTCAGTCGAAGATTCAAGAACTGTGATTCTGTGCTGTGTATGTAATCTATTCGTGTCACATTGCTGTTATTTTGTGTACTTATAATAAATTACATTAGTATTTCATCGTATAAGACATAAGTAAAGCTGAACATAAAGTAGATGAAGTAATAAAATGCATTTTTCGGAGTAAATCCGACCGTTTTATTAAGATTTTCTGGGAGAATTCCAAGAAGGTACTCATCACCAAAATTGGAAAGTTGTTTTTATAAGCTTCTACTTGGGCAAATAAATTGGATTTTTTGGGATGTGAGAAAAGACTAATAATCACTACTAAAAAGTGGTATATGATGTAAATTACGGATTCATTCCAAAATATTCGAACAAAACTGGTTGCAGCTTAATCAATTCCAGTCGAGATGAGGTAATGAGCTATTCCACATCGTTTTTCCTTAAATATCCGGCAACATCAAAAGCCTAGGAGATCCTTTGTTGCGGCTATGATGTCACCATTATGTTCAATCAGCTTTTTCTCCGCTCGAATTCTTGGCAATTCTAATTCATCCATCTTAAAGATTGTTAGGTTTTGCATACTGAAGATTCTAAACAAAAAGGAAAATGAAAAAATATCAAGCCGCGACTATGACAGTCTTTGCCATTTCTGCAACGCATAATTTTTTTTAAATCAGTCTTTGATTTAACAGCTAGAATGCATACAACTATCCGATAACGAACAACCAGACTGAGGTTCACCACACTGTGCTGCATATTTTAGGACACTACAAATTTATCCCTTCCTGTACACAACATCAGTAAAATATAGGAAAAACGAGCCCATGCATTAGTTGCAAATGATCAGCTGTTATCAACTCATTAATGACTGCAGCTAGCGCCAGCACCTTTGCACAAATGTATAATTGATTTATCAGTATCATAACTTACGATAAGCAGCACGTCCTCTTTCTTTACATTGACAACTTTCCCGCTTTCTCTCAGTGGTCCGCTAGGTCCACTGATTAAGCTGTCAAGTTTCTCATTGGACACCTCTCGACCGATGTCGCTGTCTTCATTGAAATCAGTGACCTGTAGAATCATGATTCTTATAATTATTTTTATAATTTAATGATTTTCTACCAATAACTAATGCATGAGTAAACCTTTTCAAGATCAGCCGCAGCCCAATCCTTACTCTTTGATGTATCTTTGGGCATTCGATCCGTTTGACCTTCGACCCCATTTTGCTCATCCTTTTCTCTCTCTCTCATCCTACAACCACTTTATTAATCAGTCAGTAATCAATGACAACCCTCCCTTCCCCCTCCCCTTCCAGAAAATAATCCCTAAACCATCCTCGTAACCAAAACGGGAAACCCTTCATGTAACACAGAGCCACCAACAAATGAATTTGCTGTTGAGAACCACTTTTTAATAAAGTGGCACGAATATGTCCATTGTCAACATGAAGCAGCATTTACTGGGCGTAGATGGCGTGACGTGACGTGGGAACTAAAGTGATGTTCAGATTGTGAAGTGTATACTTGTGCTATGAACGTAACACGTGTGAATACATCCACATCGACAGCTTTGCACAAACAAGGAGCCTTTGATATGGATAGTAATGCCATTTACAGGTATTATATACCAGCCATTATCAGATCTGTAACACCGCCATTATTAATGCAATTGTTAGCGATATTAACATATCAGACATAACAGTAAAACATTGTGGTGGCTGTAGAATATTCCAATCAGTCTGATATAGTTTTAATCAGTTATTTGCATATGAGGATTCATTAGCAACTATTATTGGTGTGGGATAGACAGTTCACACTGCATAATTTCATCCTTTCTATATGGTGGTAATTAGAAATATAGAAGAAAGTTATGCAGTAAGTCCGTTGGCTAAATGATTTCACAGTTGATTTATTACAGATCGCTACTGGTGATAGGTCTTCTTGTAGCGATTATCGGGGTTTGGATTGTCATGAAAATTCTAAGGTAACTATCGTTGATTTATTACGGATTATTGTTGGTGATAGGTCTTGTAGTGATTATTGAGGTTTCGTTTGTCATGAAAATTCTAAGGCGACATTATTGCAGCTTATAAATAAAGCATATTTCTAGATGAGAAAATACTAAAACGAACTGAAAAATACTAAAGAAACTACAAATTAGAAGTGTTGATGATGTATATTTATATCCTTTATCATTGCAGATTTAGGAAAAACGAAATCCGTACTCGACGGTATGATATTTTGTCAGCAAAACAACTTGTTCCGGAGCATAATGGTTCTGAAGACAGCGATGATGATTTATTTGTTCCAGTACGAAGTGATTCCATTAGACATCTTATACCAGCGAACATACTCCAGTAAGGTATTTTTGAGTAGTACGTATTTTTATTTTTATACATATTTATACGTATTTTTATACATATTTTATCACAAATTGTGATCGTCCTCTGATGAATTATTGGTCTTTTCCCATTTTCTTTACTTTAGTCATTCATTTGTCTAGTAATGAATTTATGTTCATGTTTCTGTTAAATTTCTTTTATTAATTCCTTTTCTTTATTTACTTTTCTTCTGTTCAGTGCGGTATTAAGCGACAAATATGTAGTTGCAGCTTTGTTTTTCGATATTGGTTTTTTATCACCAGCGCTTCAGTTGTTTTGCATCAAAGTTTTTGTTTATAGTTTTTATTGATATAAATGAATTAACTCGTCCTTTTTCTAAATTTCATTTTAGCACTACTGATTTGTTGACGATATCCACAATAAGCTGTTTGCGAACTTGTTTCGGTAATTTGTGAATATTTAATTCTCTACATTAATAATTTCAGTTTTCTCTTCTTGTTTTAAAGTATTTGTTTGTCATGTAATGAATGTTCATTGCATATCACTATTTTATGTCTATTTCACTTAATTGATCAGCAGTTTGAGTCAGCAAATTATTTTTATATACCAAAGTAACCAAAGTAATTCATTTCTTCTCAGGAATGAACTGTGTTAATTGACTTAGAAGCAAGGAACTCTCATTAGTTTCATCGTATCCATTTATACAGATCCTGAAAACATATCACAACCCTGCTGATTGGGATTTTGACATATTATGCTCTATGACAATAAATTGTAATAATAATTTTTTTTTTAATTTTAATAAAAGTTTACTTCAAAGCTAGTTTGAAAAACTACTTCACTGAACGCGTAAATTAAGATTTGTTAGAATAAGATAATTATTCCACTACTTTTATGCTTCCTCCTCGATAAGTTAGGAGGAAATCCTATAAGCCATTATATTCTTGTAGTTCAGGTCCAACCGTTAGAACTTCGGATGATCAAATTAACAAAAAAAAATAATACTTTGCTGCACTACCATTTCTTAACAGAAATAATAAGTGGGTGCAGCCTCATATGTACGCAAAATTGGTAGTGTATCTAGCGATAGATGCAATCATCATGTGGACTGCTTTTCACTACCAATCGTTATAATTAGCCCTGTCGGACGATCTTTTCTTGTCAGAAGAGCACAGTTGAAATTTTCAATTTGTGAGAAGAAAATTCGCTGTTCGGGGTGTTTTTATTGATTTTTTTAAATCTTATAGTAATGTAAAAAGAAAGTGCATTGTTTGTTTTATTTCGAATTCAATTATAAAAAAATTGTGTTTTTATTGATTGGCTCTTTCCTTACAATAAGCTACAGTTGAGATATTCTTACAGTGACAATGACAGGTATGGCTTGATAAATGAAACACTTCTTGAATATGTAATTAATAATGTAACAAATTGCTACTATTTTTAGCAAAATCCTTAGGCAACAAAAATCTCGCAAAGTATAGCCATTGGATTATGCTATCCCTAATGGTTAACTGACCCTCAGCTCGGGTAGGTCTTGGCTTCTTGGTCATTGATTCAAGCATTTGAGTAGCACATACTACGGGCTTTCCCATTAAGTTACATCGTGCGATTAGCATTTTTTGCGCTGCGAATACTTTCTCAGTGGGAATTTCGATACCCAAATCACCGCGTGCTATCATCAGCCCATCTGCCTCTCTGATTATTTCATCTGCGCTGAAAGCCATAACGACATTTTCTCCTTCATTTATCAACAAAACAATAAGCCACATCTTACTGCATTTCAGAATAAACTTGCAACGATAGCTTGCTAGTCCGAAGCAACTTATTTTCACTTTTGCAAATTCGATTATCATCTACTACTTATCATTAACTTGCAATAATTAGTTCTCACTTTTCAATGCCTTCTTGATTTTCAATTTTCGCTATAATTTTAATAAATCTTCCTTTCTCGCCAAGAATACGTCGTATTGTACGTACACCTTCAGCGTTTCGAATAAATGATGCAAATATCATATCAACACCCTATGAAAACAAAAATACATTAAAGCTATCTCCTCCAATTTACAGCTGACAACTTTAGAAAAACTGGTACCTGTTGAAACTCATAAATAAACAAGAGAAACCCATAGCTCAACGAACTAGGAGTGCTGCGAGGCTAAAACAAATTTCAATGGAAAGGAACAACTCAAATTCTCCATCCGAAATTCCCTATTGAACTTCCGTGTCGGAAGTATTTTTATATTGCAAACTATTTTTTATAAAATATTGCATGTATATTAGAAAATGAGTGAGAGTAGAAAATAAGAGATAGGATATTCCATGAACCTTCGCAAAACAGTATATCTTAAACTCTTTCTAATGCTTATGCTGTAAACCATTTACACATTATTCCCTACTCTTATTTTCTACTCTCAATCATTTCTTTTTATATATTTTAGAGTATCGCAATATTAAAAATCCGCGACAAAGCAATTCCCAACACCAAAATCTGGAACATCAGGACTGTTGCTAATCGTACTTTTGTGTTTAACATCCGGCCTTTCGTAATCTCTCTAATATTAATCTAATGCCCTAAGTGTAGCTGTAAACTTTAAAAGTTTGCCTTCAAAGTTAACAACTCTAAACAAAAAACTGAAACAACACTTGCTAAGTGAATTCTTTCGAGATTTGTCAGTATTTCTACATTCCAGCAGAGCAGATTCGACATTATAAAGTAAAGAAACAACTACCTTTTGTCTCTTTTCGAATCTTTTAAAATATGAATATGAAACTCTCTCATTCAGTATGTGAAAGTCACGAAACATAAGCATATGAAGTTTTACAAAATGCACCTAACTTTGGTCAGATGCATAAATGATTTTGTACTTTCTAGAAACCCACTACGTACCCTTCCCTCATATTAATAACATTGTTAATCTCAATGCTAATCCCAACATAAATCTAGAACTCTGTGCTTAAATTGAGACTAAACCATGTGAAAAAAGCAGTCATGAAGGTTGAAGTAATTGGCAATTTTACTCAGTTGAGCACTTCATTTCATCGCCAATGAATCTTTTTTGAAATGCTTCGTCGATCGATCTTCATCGCTATGAAGTGAATCTCGTGTGCATTTTTTCAATATATCTTCATTCTTTAGTATCTAGTTACAATGAAGACATGCTATTAAATTCTTTATTAAAACTCTACTCAATCCAAACTGAAGAACTCCTTATTCCATTTTAATATAAAGAAGGGATGCAAAGACTCTCTAATTAATCCTAAATAGCGGAAACAGAAAAAACAGTCTAAGCCCCACATTAGAATAACATTCAGAATTATTAAAAAACACTTACTGAAAAACTTCTAATAGAATGAGAAATAGAGTGGAAGATATGAAATGTGTGCAAGAGCTGCTTAATACATAATGTATATTCAAACAAACATTTAAAGCTCAGAAAACAAAATCATTGTGTTAACAGTAGTCCGACTCAACCTACATTTAAAATTGCTGAGCACACATGCCAATATTTCTAAAATGAAACAACATGCTTAGAAAAGTGAAACAAAATTCATATGAAATTAGAATTGCCAGGAACATTTTATTACTGCTGACTGAAAATCCTCTAAAAAAAATATAGATCGAAGCAGAGCATTTTCCAATTGCTGAATCCTTGTCAAAGAGTCAAGGAATTCCTTACATGAAATGATTTTTTGTAATTAAAGTTTTACACGGTAATAACTGTAATCATATTTTATTAAAGTTCAGTGACAGTATAAATCTCGGTTCCAGTAACTAAAGTAAAAGGAAAACAACTAATGAGCTCAAGCCTAAACTGGTATGAAATTTCGGAAAAACAAAGAATATTATTAGGCATAAAGATTGCTATTAATAAGTTTATCAAGTTTTATTAAAATTTAGCTAAATACTAAGCAAACATAGCATTGACTGTGAGCAGAAATACTTCTTCACACTTAGAAAAAATCGTGGTAAATAATCCTATTTAAGAATGCTGCGTAAAACAGATTCATTAATCTGGTAAGTCACAATCTGCTTACAAAATTTTACCTAAAAAGAAATTTTATTTTTAGAAATAGTATATCTGAAGAGATTCGGATAGAGATTGCTGTTGATAGGAGATAATATTGATCGACATTGGAAATGAACTGGACTTCTAAGCGAATAAGCAGGCTAAGCTGGAAATGAACTGCGACTATCAGACCATTTTTTAAGGTACCTTGATGATACGTAATGTGTTCGTGTGTCCAGCGCCTAGAAAAATGCTTTTCTATTCAAATAGTATAACCTCACAAAATTAATTCATTTATTTGAAATTTTGAATTTCATCTCATTAGAGCTGCTTTTAAGTTGTAAACATAACTGCTTCAAACTCGGTATTCGAACATAAATGACTTTAAAATTTTTAGATGAAGAGAGCTCACAAGACACGAGACATGAAAACATCTGAGCTTATAAAAATAAGAACAAAGGAACCTTGTCTCCATCCAGTGATGACAACCACCAGGTCGTTCTTTTTGATAAAACCACGGTCCTTACCAACCGAAATACCATAATTAATTCGGGCATCGACATCGCTCGACCAGTCACTTTCTCGATTTGCTAAACAATTCAGTCATCTTTCGGCTCATCCAATTTACGTTTTAGTGTATGTCTTGCTGTAGAAATAGAAATAGTTTGGGAAAAGAAGCAAACAATTTTACCTCCGTAATGAAGCGGAAATATACCACGCCAAAGATGAAGCTGTCGAGCGACATGCTCATCCCGGCATATTGCAAAGACAGGCATCATCGGCCGATAACGAGATACCAAATCAGCAGACCTGATAAAAGTAAACAGTTATATTTTGCAGAATTTTATTGGAAATTCAGAACTAAATATTAGTAATTATTCAAGCTTAACTTACAATGTTCTCATATAACCTTTAATATTTCAACACAGCATGTATGGGACGTGAATAATATCAAAGTTTTTGGTCAGATTTATGATTTGAAGTAAGATTTAAAGTCAAGAAATAAAAAAGTTCTTAAGGTTGTTGGACTCATCGTCTGAACATGTATTTAGACTTCCAGTTAGAGCGAACCGTCCGGTAGTAGTAACTAGAATCATTGCACTGGCATGACAAGACGCCGCAGCTGATGTTGCTGCAATGGCAACAGTATGTGCGATATCCGTCGGTTTTGGGGTTGCGTGGAGAAGTTCCTCGAAAAATCGCGTATGATACACCGCTGCTTCCGCTTCTTTGCAGATCTGCAAATGAATTGTCTAGAAGTAATGCATTTGACATTATTCTTGAACTTATGATCATGTTATTTAAACTAACAAATTATCAGATGTAACAAAGCAGATGCATAACAAAGTATGCACATATATTTATTGTCACCCAAAATAAAAAAAAATCCTATCACAATCATAATCCTAAGTGGGTATGATGGAGTATTTATTTACTGTTTATAACTAGAATAACTAACCTCGTGCATGATTTTGAGAGCTTCTAATGGGTATTCACCTTTAGCAGTTTCACCACTAAGCATTACACAGTCAGCTCCGTCCAGAACTGCGTTTGCAACGTCACTGCCTGAAATGATTTCAAACAACTGAAATTATTCCTTCGCAAATATATCACTACTTTTAAGACTATGCTTATAGTAATGCACCTATTACTGCATAAAAATGATCAGTGCTACTAAAAATCTGTCCTATATATTTTTTCAACTCATAAAGCAATGTAAGACCAGTAACCTTCAGCACGAGTTGGTCTCGGCTTTTTTATCATCGATTCAAGCATTTGGGTAGCACAGATGACCGGTTTTCCCGCTTTGTTACATTTAGCAATCAACATTTTTTGGGCCAAAAATACTTTTTCAGGTGGAATTTCAATACCCAAATCTCCGCGGGCAACCATAACACCATCTGCTTCTTCAATAATTTCATCGGCTCTAGAAAAATTGTCATTCTGTCTCCTAAATTTTGCTGACAACCTTTAAGGACTCATACACATGAAATTGTATTATTTCCACATTACGGCACTAATAATACAATTTCCAAATTCCCACTCCATAATCTTGTTGGATAAGAAATCACTTACTTATCAACGCCTTCTTGATTTTCAATCTTTGCTATGATTTTTATGTATTTTCCTTTTTCACCAAGCACCTTCCTTATCGTGCTAACACCTTTACCATTGCGTATAAATGAAGCAAAAACAATATCTACTTTCTGAAACATTAATAATGAATTGCTTCATTCACTCAGTCCTGGTTAATAACGTGAAACAAATAAGCTAACAAATTTCTTGTGGACTTACATAATTATGGCACATGCTTTATTTTCAGCGCCATTACTGTGTAAAAAAGTAAACTTCTTTGCTGCTATCGTTTGATTTTTGGCCTGATAATTTACAAAGAATACCTGCTCCACACCAAACTGCAAATCCTTGATGTCTTTTTCAGACACAGCTGGTAAATCGACAGGTGTACCGGGCAAATTGACACCCTTTCTGCTTCCTAACATACCCCCATTTTCAACGGTGCACAATATACCTTCATCTTCTAAAAGACTCATAAATCTTCAAAGGAATATGCAATAGAATTCACATTTCAAGATAGGTATAAACTCAGTTAATAAAACTAAGTGTGCAATAACCTCATATAATGAGTGATTAAGGAAGAATCGAACACAAAAGCTTCTAAAATAACAACGCAACATAAAAATTCAGGTTAAAAAAAATACGAATTTGCAGTTGAACTTGTATTTTTCTCATTATAGCATAGTATAGGAATGTCATCTAAGTCAACAAAAATTATGAAGGATTTTTTTAACAGTGATTTCCATGAAAATGTGTATGGTAAATTCATTTACAAAAACTCAAAATTCCCATCAGCGCTAAATATGTTCATGCTCAATAAATTATAAGCATTTCAATTTCTTTGTGTGATTAGAAAATGACAATTTACCGATGGAATTGACGATTAATGAAATAAGACCGTCATCAATAAAGACTCGTGAGCCAACACTC